AGGGTTTTAGGGTTTAGGGCTTATGTTTAGGGACCTTGGGCACATATTGGGATTGCACAATGGGCGAAACATGGCGAAAGTATAGGGGATTTTGGGGGTCCTTACTTGAGTTTAGTTCTCAACATTGGGGAGCCCTAGGGGAACTAGGAATGTGCAAGGATTATAGTGGATGATGCTTTTTGGGGTTTGTATACACGTCATTTTTTGAGAACTAGAGGTTTTGGGTTTCGAGTGCGGCTTTTGGGTTTAGAGTGAAGGGTGTAGCGTTTAGAGTTTACGGTGAGCGTGTAGCAAAGCCGCACTGGTCTTTTCGGGCAGAAGCCCAGAAGGCGTATCCAAAAAGTATAGGGGGTGCGTCACAAGAGCAAGGGATAGCAAGGGTATTCGAGCCTGTGGGTTCAAAACCCTAAGCCCTCCTCTAGGGTAAGGTTCAATTTGGGCTTAGCCCTAAACCCAAAACCTTTCAACAAACCAAGCCCTGTTTGGGCTTGAGCCTACTGTGATGGCTGCACAAGTTTTTGGAAATCTTGATCTCCTTTTGCCCAGGCTGCTGGCTTGACAGCACATACTTGGCTGCAGACGGTGTCCAGCTAGCCTACAGGCAATGGGTATAGGGTTTAGGGTTTAGAAGGGCCTATTTTCGGTTGGTACATCTGAAGTTTATGAGTCCTAGCTGTGGAGGCGAGAGGACGAGTGCAGCCTGATATAGGTAAACATGGCTGTTCCCATGGTTCCATTAGCTTGGGCTAGCATTTGGTATGAAAGGGACTTTAAACTGGCACCAAACCCTAAACCCGCATGACTGACAGTTTGCACGTCCGTTTGCAACCCTTCAAAAAACTTCTCTACAATCTTCATAACGCTATAGAGCCGCCCTACAGAAACCCGTCAAGCTTTATAGCCCTTTATTTGGAGAGTCAATAATTGGAATAATTGTAAACGCTAGCGCGCGCCCGCCTCGGCTGGCCGGGCTTCCCACTGTAGGAACATGTAATTATAGATATACAGGTATTTAAGTTAGGTATATGGATACAGTCATATGCCTAATACAT